TTCTGTTCTCCTGACCCCACCCCCATCTTTCTTCCCTTGTCCTCACTCTCTTATGAAATGACTTCATCCCCTCCTACTCAGAGAAAATAGAAGACATCAGAAGATAACTTGTTCAGCTTCTACCTTCAAAACCATTAACATCCCAGATCTCCTCCATTCCCCATAGTGATGCGGGTGCTCCAGGGGTCCCAGACCCCAAGGTCTGCAACTCACTGTGGGTTCTTAGCTTCACGCAGGAAGTTAAGAATTTAAACGAGAGCCAGCATAAACTTTAAAGTGAAAGTGCATTTATTAGTGAAGTGCGAAAGAGTGGTCTAATTCACAGACCCACCTAATGGTATTTACTTGTTTTATTGAGGCTCTTTTAATCCAGGTGTAGGGCATTTAATAAGGGTGATGAATATTCAGGACTTTGCTAGTAGGGAGGAGAGGGGAGACTTCTCAGAAGAGCTGGTGGGCCCTTTTGTGGCCTTTTATGGACTTTCTGTCTCTATAATGAGGCAAGGGGTCACAGTAAGGTGAAATTAGTTGCCTCTTGGAACTAGCTGGTCTCTGCAGGTTCTAAGCCATAAATTTGTTGGGGGTGATCTTACTATCTCCTTGTTAGTCCCTGTGACCCTTATAGGTTACAGCCATTTCACCACATACCCTATCTGAATCTATAATAATAAAAGTGTAATGCTAATTAGACCATCCAGAGGACCTTCTGGACGACCTTCTGGATGACCTTCTGGACAAAGCTGGGGCTGGGAGGGAAGCCAGGTCCCGGGTGCCTGCCAGTGGCCGGAGGGAAGCCTGGGTCTTGGGTGCCAGAGGGAAACTGGTGCCGGCAGCCGGGGGAAAGGAAGGCCTACTCTTGTATGAATTTCATGCATTGGGCCTTTAGTATTATAATAGAAGAAATACCTCCCTTTAATTTCCCATTCAAAGCTCATCCTCCTGCCTGTACTCTGGATCCCACTCCTCTGATCTTCTGGGGGAACTCAGTCTAATGATTATTCCTCTTGCTTTCTCCTATGTTTTCAACCACTCCTTCTCAGCTGGCTCCTTCCTTTCATTTATTAAATGTACTAAAATCTCTCCTATCTCAAAAAAAGAACCAAATCCCTTAACCCTACCTTCCCTTCCAGTTAACACACTGTCATCTCTTATCATAACCAACTTGTTGCAATGGTCGTTCATATGTTTTCTCCTTTATCTCCCACTCACTCCTCAATCCAATTAATTCTAGCTTTCTCCCCCCCACTCCACACACACACACTGAAACTATTTTCTGTAAGTTTATCAATACTTTTTAATGATTTAGATTTACATTTAGTGATAAGAAAGGACGTTTTGATACAGTTTTGAGTGAAAAAATAGCTTACAAAATATGGTATATAGTATACATAATATAGTATAATCTATTGACTTTTTTTTGGTGTATAAGCCTATGAATTTTAGATTCATGTAACTACTACCACAATACAGAAAAGTTTGATCACTAGAAAAAAACTCATTCACACTATTGCCCAATCCCCCAACACTTAAGCTCTAATAACTATTGTCCTTCATCACTATAGGTGTTTTTTTTTCTTTTTGAGAATGTTACATAGATGGAATCATATAGTATGTGACTTTTTGACTGTCTTCTTTCACTCAGCCTAGTGCCTTTGAGTTTCACCTAAGTTGTGTGGACCAATAGTTCATTCCTCTTTATTGACGAGTAATATTGTATTGTATAGGTGTATCACAGTTTGTTTATCTATTCACTTATTGAAGAACACTTGAGTTGTTTCCTTTTGGGGGCAATTAGAGCAGCCATTGAAATTAGCTTATAGGTTTTTGTATGAGCATAAGTTTTTATTTCTCTAAAGTAAGTACACAAATATGAAATTGCTGGGTTATATGGTAAGTATACACTGAGTGGCCAGATTATTATGACCACCTGACGTTTGAAGGCAAATTAGCTATAATTTCGTGCTGAAGTTGCTAGAGGGCCAGACCATTATAAATAACGCAGGTTGCTTGAGTTGTTTCCTTTTGGGGGCAATTAGAGCAGCCATTGAAATTAGCTTATAGGTTTTTGTATGAGCATAAGTTTTTATTTCTCTAAAGTAAGTACACAAATATGAAATTGCTGGGTTATATGGTAAGTATACACTGAGTGGCCAGATTATTATGACCACCTGACGTTTGAAGGCAAATTAGCTATAATTTCGTGCTGAAGTTGCTAGAGGGCCAGACCATTATAAATAGGGACGCAGGTTGTTTACCACGACAGTAGAAGTGATTTTTTTCTGAAGATACGGGTAAACAATGCGATTTAACAGCCTTTGAACATGGGAGATATATATATAATGTTTAACTTTATAAGGAACTGCCAAACTATTTTTCATAGTGCCTTTGCCATTTTGCATGCCCATCAGCAAGGTATAAGACTTTCTGTTGTTCTGAATCTTCTCCAGCACTGCATACTGTTATTATTTTTTATTTTAGCGAACCTAAGAGGTGCATAGTGGCATCATATCACAATTTTAATATGCATTTCTTTACTGGATAATAGAATTGGGAAAATTTTATGTGATTATTTGCCATATATGTTTTATCTTTGATAGTGTTTGTTCAAATCTTAAGCCCATTTTAAAATTGTCTTGTTCTCTTCTTACTGTTGAGTTTTGTGAGGTTCTTTATGTTTTCTGATTGCAAGTAATTCAGTAGATATGTGATTTGCAGTTATTTTCTCCCAATATGTAGCTTTCTTTTTATTTTTTGAAAATTGAATTTATTGGGGTGACATTGGTTAATAACATTATATAGGTTTCTGGTATACAAGTCTATAATATATCATCTGTGTTCAC